GGAGTGATTTCGTATGGTGAGACTGAGGATAAGGATATACTAGGCGATAGAGCGACTGGCTGTCGCCAGCTCACGTCAAGATAATATACGTTGTGTGTGCTGACATTCAGAGTGACTGTAAAGTCGTCTTGAGGGTCACTCAGATGTGAACCGCGCCACGAGAGGGGTGAAAACATGCCTGTGAGGTTCAAATGGAGTGGTTGTTGGACCCCTTCGGTCGGAGGGTAGTAAGTGGAACTTGGCGATTGAGTGATGAGAGATGGTGAGGCGGCGTGCATAACCGAAATAGCTTAGCAGTTTTAAAGGCGTTCCCTTGCTCCCATGATGTTCCAACTGAGATCTTGCAAACGTTTCTTAATGTAGTCATTTGATCGGCAGGGAAATGGGATGCGGAGTTGCCTGGGCATCTGTAGAGGATTGGGGGAGGAGGGTGCCATATCCGTGGCGCAGGCAAGAAATATCTCGTCCTCAAGCGCAGACCAGTTGCACTGGTGGTTGAAGAGCCACGCCAGACCAACTGCTTTGTAAGCATCCGGACTTGAGTACAGTGCTGAGACAAGCCACGCTTGCTTTTGAACGTTGTGCTGCATGTCAAGCATTTGAACTCCGTCCAGTTGCCAAAAATCCCGTTACAATGCTATGGTGTAAGTCAGGTGTTGACCTAGGCCAACGCTTGTGGAAAAAGAGCGCGGGCATAAGTCGCAGTAATGCAAGAGTATGGCGTCGGTCGTTGTAAATTGTCCTCTGGCTGTAACAGATGAGGTGAAGGGCTGTTGAGATTGAGCGTCGCTATCCATTCACACAATGAGTGCTCAAAAATGACCCTCCATTGCCTAACAGGCTTAGAACCTGATCTCTTCATAAGTGACTGAGGCTTTGAAATGCTCCGCAAACTCAAGCAATGTGCATACTAAACCTAACTGGTGATGCGAACGCGATTGGCAAGGTAAGGCGACTGATCAGTTTGAAATGTTGTTCAGTATTCTTGAGGATTGGTGATGTGTCCAACAGCAACATAACAGCATCTGGCACTTCGAGTGTGCCGCGCTTATGGCTAACCATGCGGCGCTGTGCGTCAGCATGGCAAAATTGCTTGCCTAGTAGCTGGGTCGGGTCCAAAGAGAGCCCGTTTTCCTTGTACCGAAAGTCTGACAGTTGGCAACCGAACATTTCTGCTGCGGAAAAGATGGATGGAGACACGAGGCAATCATTCGTACCCATTTCGATCGCAAGTTAAAGAAACAGGGCGGCCAAGACTAACTTAATTACCGTGCTGAACTAGGGGAACAGGTTCCCATAGACTCGCATATGTGCATGGTACTAGTGGTTGAGAGATACGCCCGTTTTATAAACATACACCACCACAAATGAGTAAAGTCGACGGATCCATCTGTGAATGCGGTGGCAGTGGAACACTGCGAGGTTGTAACCGGTTTAACCTCTGCTGGTTTGCTGCTCATGTAAGTCAGTCAGCGTGCTGTAAGTAAGCAATTCAAAAGCGGCGGGAGCGAGACTACTTTCACGAGTACCTCCACAAGACGCGCAATAATTATTTGGATCCGCGGTTCGTGGTTGGAGATCGCCAGTCAGGTAGCGCTCCCTTCTTCTTCGTGATGTTGAACAGAGTAGCCGAAGCAGTCACTAATGACTAGCCACTGTCCGTCAACAACTATGAGGGGCCATCAAAGCGAGGTGACTTGTTCTGTTCCACCGTTAGCAACTCGTGCCCGATCTCGTTGCTCGTAGGCGCAACCATCCCGGATGATTCGTAGAAAGTAGAAGTCACGATTAAACTGCGCACAATAATTCGCCTCGACGGGGAATCGAACGCCGTTCCCACGAATTTCCGGTCTGTACTGTGAGCTCATTGGCAATACGTCGCGCACCAAGCGGAAGTCATGTATTAAACTGCGCACCAAGTCATGTGTTAAATTACGCACCTAATCGTCAGCCCTCGGTAGCTCAGCGGACCGGAAATTCGTGAGACCGGGGTTCGATTCCCTGTCGAGGCAGATTATTGTGCGCAGTTTAATCGTGACTTCTACTTTCTACGAACCTTACGCTACTCACAAACACCTTTCAAGTAATCATCCTGGATGAGTTCAGATGAGACAGCAAACTATTCCGGTACACCGAGTCGGCATATTCGCGTCTCAAAGCAGCAATGTAACAGAGTCAGCCATTCACCGTGATCCGCTGCTATCTCATCCACAGGTGCGTTTCCAAAATCTAAACTATCCTTGATTTCGCGAATTTTGGTCATCCATCGATGCTTAGTTTTCTGTGAAACCCAGCCGAACCGTAAACTGTAATGTTTTTACAGCGGCAGTCTAAAGGTGTCTTTCGTGCATGTAGGTAGCCGGCGTTCACTATCGGCAGCCTGTGAAACGGTTTGTCCAGTTAAAGCCGTTTTTTGGTTCGGCCTCTGCAGTGCATGCTGAGCCTCATGAGTAGCAAGGGTCGCGACCTGAATGTCTCCTACGGAGCCCGGCGAATCATCAAAAAAACGGAAACACAGCGTAGTACCTGTGTGAATATTTCATCGCAGTTAGACTCAGGCACAGTCACCACTTACAAATACGTGCAGTTAAGAATAAGTAAAACGACACACTCCTCGACGGTGCGAGACACGGTCCCATTGAATGGTCGGTCTGAAACCCAGCTTAACGGACTAATTGGCCTAATTATAGACAGTTCTCAATTAGAAACCGCCATCTCGACTGGTTGATCCGGCTGAACAATCAAGCGTGCTCCCATCATCAGAACTCGCTAAACTTGGTCGTCATGTTGCCCTGTCATCCCCGCTAATCCGGAGACTGCGAAACCGGGCATAGCATCATGAAATGCATCGTGCCCCAAATAAGTTGGAAAAATAATCCGCTACAATTCATGGCGAATAAGGTGTACCAGTGCTTGGATGCCACAAGAGTTTCGATTGAGGTGATCCTACTGACAAAACAAAACGCGAAAGGAGGCAAATGTCAATCACAGACAAGTATAAAACTGGTCAACGCCATTCAGTCACAGATGGCTGCCAACCAAGCAGGGATAAGGCGACTCGACAAGGACTACCTGCAGTTTCCAATGCCTCGCACCGCTGCCGTTCCAGTTCATTGATTCTAGATATACAATAACCGTATGTCAACATTATGGCTCCTAGTCGGATGCGATTTCGTTGTTGCTGACGCAGGCTGGTTATCCGAAGGAGTAATGGGTGTTGCAAAGATCCACAAACTAATCGGCGTCCTCAATCACGGTGGACAAACTCAGAAATAGTATCCTATTTCGCGTCCAGATACGGTACCGCTCCTATCCTTTCCATCTGTCGGAGACATCCTACATTCCGACATGTGTTACCACCGCTGCCTGCTTGACATGTTTTGAAGGACGAGTGTGTCCACTTTCGATGTTAGGTGTTGTACCGACGCTGGGAGAATAAACGCTATGCGGACGTCTAATGCGTCACTCGAATTGAGATAAATACTCTAGATCGGCTGTCAACTTACCAAGGATGGGCACCATCTGTGGCATGGGCTAGTTTGGGCCCACATCGTACCTTCATCAGGGAGCGTCATGAGCACTGCCGTAAGGGGAAGCTTCGCTGCTGCTACATGGTTAGAGAAACCGACTACCATTGTCAGTGTGCCCAAGCTTATGTGCTGAATTAAATGAACGCCCTTGTCTTTCGTAAAAGGCGCTACGTCCGCTTTAAGGGCCACTCAGATTGAAGATGGCATTTGGTGCTTCACCGTACGCCTGCATTGCGAGTACCTTTCACGCTGCAACTCCAGTTGCAGTTCGGAATCTGGACGACCGAATGAACACAAGCGCGTTATGACGCTACCTCCACATATACATCAATAGAATAATACTGTCAGCTGCATTCCGTAACGGCGCTTCGCTGCCGCACGACACCATCAGTCGCGCGTGCACTGAGTATCCCGCGAGGACGCCCGCCCCTACGCGGATTTAACCGGTGAATCGATTGCAGGTCAGGCGAGAAAACCACTCGGTCACCGGCCGACCTGGACCTTACTTGAGTGTTCCTGTGATGTGAGCAGCTGCACCGAGCGGCACTTTCAAAGCCATTCACGCTGGACACGATGAATATTGATCGACTAAACTCGGATTAGGGTCGAGAGATTCGTCGTCGAGAAGTAAGTCGGAGGCTGTCAACCCAAATCGTTCTGCGTAGAGCATAGAAGACGGATCGGTTCTATCTCATGGATAGTATGCCTGCTGGTCTGTTAGTGCCTCTATCTTCCAGAGATTGAAGAGCAAATCTGCTGATGTACACCATGTTCGTCCTTACATGGGGCGTATTGTTTGATACGATTGAAAATCGTACATTAGTCAGGCGACTGCTGTGAAAAGTTCTAGTATTCAAATCCCCGGGTCTATCTTACTTTACGCAGTTTCGGAGAGAAAGACCGTTTAGTTTTAAGCTCCGCGTGGAGTCCGTCAAGTATAAGTGATTCCCCAGCTACTCATTGGATCAGGACGGAAACCGAAAGCCCTAAACGAGATCCATCTTCTACAGTGGTTAACGGGAAAATATCCCCTGTTTAGATATTCGTTTTCAGTAATTACTAAACACTGTTTGCAATCACCTCGATAGGTACACCAAGGATCTATCGTTGTTCCACTTCTAGTTCGGTTTCGGCAATGATGTATCATTCTGTGCTGTAGCATGGCTGGTCTAAACTGGGATTTCCTTTCAAGCCATCACGCATAGACACTACTCTTGGTTGGCGGGCTGGGTTACACGCTAACTGGATACATTTCTACCAAGATGCTATGGGCCAGTTACGTAAATAAAGGAGTCGAACGGTCCCGGACAGATGCTTGATTGAAGGTGGCAGCAGATATCCGGAGCGGTCGAATTTCCAATGGACTTCTGAGATGTCATGGTATTAGTAATCTTAGTTACAATCACGTGGCAACCAATGCCTAGAATTCATAAGAAAAAGGCCCCCAACCCGCTTTTGATACTACAACATGTGCCGAACATAAATGTATAACCATCGGAATCGTGGAGGTCTACAAAAGTGAAGTACCTGGATCCGGGAATCTCGTTTGGGATGCTTCAGAGTATGAAAGACAATAAATATGATTTGATAAAGGATTCAATACGTTCCACCCCACTTGCGGGATTCGATACACCCACATAACTCAGTAAAGGGTAAACGACTGAGAGAAAAAACGTGAGTCAAACTAGAGTGCAGCAGCAACCCGGAGGAAGTGCAGTGAAGTTTGGATTTGCAATCGAGTGCTCAAGGTCATTTGTTCATATCTACAACAGGTCGATGAGCTAAAAGTGACATTTGAGACAAGGATGAAAGTGAAAAAAGAAACAAAAGAAAGTACAGTTTGGTGCGCTCCATATGTGGTTTCCACTGATGCATTTGGAGCCGGTATGCGTCATATTCCGCACTGGCTCAAACTCCCAGTAAATCATAGAGTTCGTCATCTTTCGATTCTGGTTGAACTGCAGATAACGGAGGTTGCGGTCTGATGGTTAGTTTCGATTGCTGAGAGGGCTTCAGAGGCGAGATTAAAGCGGAGGCGCGGTTGGCGGCTATTTTTTCGACTATGGTTTGCCTCTGTGCCAACAAAGCGGGTGGAATGTTAATAGGTTTACCTGTGTCTGTGGCGCCGACAGAGCGCAATGATAAGTCTTGCCTTTTGTTTAGCTCTGGAGGTCTTGAGGATTGAGATAGTGGACATCTTGTCGGTTTTGAGTGGGTGCCAGGTTTTGGGCCAGTAATGAGCATCTCTATGCGTGAATCTAGATCGAGGTCAACCGACGTCTCAAGTGGTTTCACGGCAAAGGAACCGGTCTTGGTTGTGGCGATCAAGGCGGTGCTAGTAAGGAGAGGCGGTGGCGGGGGAGGTGGAGAGCGGGGAGCTGATGAAACCATCTTGGAAGCTGCTTCGAAGGCGGCTACTTGCTCCACTCTAGACATCACGGACTCTTCATCCTCCTCGTCGTGCATATGGGCAGCGGCCGCGGCCACGGCAGAAGCCCGAATGGTGTGACCAAGTTCAGCGACACGACCGGATGATGTTGAAATTCCAGGGAGCGATTCAGTAGAAAGGCTGGATGTCAGTTGTGGTTTATTGGGCGGTCTGGGATTGGAAAACGCTGCCGCCGCCATGCGCTGATCGGTCGCACGAATCAGAGACAGCATATCATCCACTTTGGCTGCTAGGTCGGCGTTTAGACTGTTCGACTTCGCCTCTAGGTTCGGGGGAGAAAGTTGCAAAGAAGTAAAAGTGGTGTCTGAGGTGGCGCTAGTGGTAGGAAAAGTCTGTACAACAGATGTAGGCGGAGTGGATTTAGTGGTGGACGCTGGCAAGGTCAGGTCGATTTGGTCTCGGGATGACGAAGAGTTACTGGACGGAGCGGCGTCTTTGTTTGCTCGTTCGGTCTGAGCGGTAACAGGACGGCTGAGGTGAGCGGCAAGCAGGGATTGAGCGAGAGCGAGCTGGAATTCAGATAGTAAAGTGCAGTTAACGGAAGCATACCGAGGGCTATATGACGGGTAAATAATAAAATATACAATGTTCTCACGCACTAATCCCATTGCCATGTGTATCACAGAGAGCAGATATTGCTTTCTATAATAAACTATCGAGGGCGAATCGGCCACTGTGCACGATTCAGTGTACGTGTAGGTGCACATGCGAATCTGGTGTCAATTTTGGCGATTTGATGTAAGACAATTTTATGGAAAGTTGAGTAATGAAATGAATCCAGTAGCCGATCATTACAAACTAGATGAGGTGAGATGATCCATATATTAGGCGCTTGAGCGTGAATCTATTTGTCTTGACTGTCGCCACGATAAAAAAACAAGCGAAGCACGGACATATCGGGTGAAAGATCATAAGAATACAACTGCCGAAAAACAGTTAACAGTAGCACGGGAGGGAAGTTATGTGTCAAGACATAGTTGACTTTGCGACCCCGTCGGATGTCGCCTACCATTGATATGGCTGATCTTGATGCTCTCGTACCAGAGAGACTGTGCGCAACGGTCAACTACCACATCACCCTAAGTTGCGGTTGACTAATCTGAGACATCAACCAACCATGCACGGTGCCCGAAAACAATACATACACCAAGGCAGACATTCAGTCCCAAAAACATGGCTAACCGAACGTAGACAGAAAGCAGTGTAGTGATGCACCATCGCAAGACTCGCTGAGAAACAGGAATCAATGATCCTCCGCATTGTTCACAGGTGATTCAATCGGTGCCGCACGTAGGCAGCGACGAGCAATGACAGTCGTTGTGTCAACAAGCAGCATTGTCGTCTCCACTGAAACGATGACTTACCATAGAGGTCAAGCCGCATCGATTGGCTAAACAATAAGAGTGATGCAGACAACGAGGGAAAAGAACTGGCTGGGTTTTTTCTGGTGACTGCTTGGTAAAATTCTAGCTCAACCCAGACAGGCAGTAACGCTTTGCATTTCGAAGCAGTGAAGTGCATACCAAAAAGTGCGGCGTCGTCATGTATCAGCCTCTTAACCACCGTTCGTACAGTAACCGAGTCGAACTCTAGGAGAGCGATATCACCGGTCGATAAGCACGCGGAAACACTGATTGGAGGGTCAATTTGGAACACTCGTTGTGCGAATGGATAGCGACGCGCAATTTTAATACGGACCGTGATATGCATTGAAGTAAATCTTGGTCAATTCTATCACTAGGACTGTAAATAAAACGGAAGGAAATTTGGTGTTGCCCGCCGAAAAACAATACACTCCGGTAGAAGCTCTACTGCAGAAAATCAATCATTGCAATCATTTCAACACAGATTTGAAGAGAAAAAAGGTATGGAGCATCGATGATATCTTCCGATTATCGGGGTGAACTCAGGAGGATTTTAAGTGAATTTGCACACGACCAGGAAATCTTGTTGCAAGATACTGGTGCTGAGAACCTTGAACAAACTCGTTCCCGGGGTAAGAACTGTGGTGTATGGTCTTTGGTGTGTAATCACGTCTACTGCCACTGTTTCTTAATTGCATAACGACATCCCACTCAGATCAACTAGCAAGAGGTTTCACAGACCCAAGTAGATCTGGCGTAGTGGTTCATCTCTCTCCACACACAAAATTCGAGTCCCCGCTCTTGTCTGCATTGGTTGCAGTATCCCAGCCCGCGAACGACCGCTCACGACGGATGGCGGTAGAGGGTCGTCACAAAACACTGGTGAAGTACAGAGGCCGTTTGCAAACCACAAACGTCACTTTACATTGGCTATTCTAATGCACCAGCCCTATGACAGGTCGGCGAACTGTCACCAAGTATCTTAGAGTGGCGTGTCATGTGACGTGAGAAAGGGAATGTAGGAGAACAGCGTTTCGTCGCGTCTGCATCCAATCGATTAAAACTACAATGCTGAATAGTAAGAGTTCGCGGAATTGCAGTTGCGGAGCCAGTGACTTGCAGCATTCACGATATCGGCGTATGGTGAGGCACACGTGCAAAAGCATAAGCGACTAGCGTGAATTTCGGTGGAAGGTCATAAGTGCGGGCTGTTTTCAGAACTCAGTCAGTGCTAATAAGTGATCCAGCATACAGCCCGTAGACTGGAGAGGCAAGCTTCTTTGACAAATATTGCACCCAACAGCAGATGCAGCCACTGTTGTTGGAAGGTGGGACGCCATACAGGGGCAGTTGTCCCAGCCGGAACACATTTCAGACAGCTGGGTCCACTCGGTGTCTGCCGTATTGACGATAGCAGCTCCATGCCATCTAACAAAATCCTCAGTACAAAGAGGTACATTAATCAACACCTAGTACTTACTGGGTGAAGGGCTACTTCGAATCCCACCTAACTCGTGCCATCGGTGACACTAGAAGTAGATTCAAGTTGGTAGCCCAGCTGGACATCCAAGTAAATCTCCTGTTCCACAGTAAATATCGAAGAATAACCAACTTCCAGCTCTACTGCGGCCGGATTTTGAGGGAAGAGGGTTGTCGAGACCCCCAAAAGTAAAATATGAAAGTTGACGTGACAGGTTTAGGTTGATCATTAACTAATGTCTATTAGGATATGGGTGGATCAGCAGACGCTTGAACATTGTCAGTGCAGAAAGAGGGTCCACAAAGACAAGCAGTCGCACGGCATTCAGATCCAGTTCGTGCCAATGAACTATGTGTGGAAACAAGGAGACAGCAAGTTGTTGGTTAGAGTGGAGGTTGAAAAAGCCACAGTTTTGTGCTAATGCAACATAAGATTATCAGAACATTTGGACACTGAAAGAGTGATGTCAAGGTCGACAAATCATCCGAAAATTAGTTTAAAATGTGGATCCAAAACGCTGTTTACCCTACGTTCCCATCAAATCTGCCAACTGAATATCGCAGCATATTGTTTGCCAAGACTTCATCACGTTGCACACAAAGCGATAGCTCAAAAGAGAGGTCATTTCTCCCTGGGTGTGGGTCACATTATCACAGGCATACTAGCGGTTAGAAATCACAGCTAGAAAGGTGCAGTGGGAGGAGTCGCGTTCACGCTCCTAACTCTTGCTAGTTCTTCTGCTGGATGATTTTAGCCCCTGCCTTCTCTACTTATGAACTATGATTTTATACGGGTTAAGAAGCACTGCTTTACAAGCCCCGTTGGGTAGACTGGTGGGTGTTGTCGAAAAACATTAATGAAAAACTGCAGTTAACAGTTTTACTATCAAAAGAATGGACTAAGCATATGAAATGCAGCAGCCGTGCACTCCGAGTGTTTTTATAGTTGCCGTAGGCAAAAAAATAAATCCGAGTTATTTACCGAGAGTAGGATGGAGAGTAGCGTCAAGTAACAAAATGTAAGTGGTGGAGTGCGTCATCCAACAGACCTTTGAATATGGCTAATGTGGGTGCTGAAACAACAGATTCGGGGGAAGCGTTCCATGGTTGACAAACATGAATGGAAAAGAAATTTCTACGGCGCATCAGACGGCTGTATTGTTCTGCTAATTTCAAGGAGTGACCTCTAAGCTTGGTGTTGCTGCTGAATTGCAGTAAAGAGCGACACACATGATTTGGGTTGTGTAAAATCAAGTCGCCTCGCAGTCGACGATACCGATCGCTGAATACTCCCAAACGTTCCAGCCTCTGCTCGTAAGTAAGGTGGCGCATTCCAATGACGTAGTTAGAAGCTCGAGCTTAAGGTTGGTCCAGTGCAGTAAGGTCATGCTTCAGCCAAGGCTGCCAGGTTTGGATTGCGTATTTGACATAGGGGCGAACATGCGCATTCAGCACCTGTCTGAAAATAGTGGTATCTAGTTGTCCAAACGCCCGTCGTAGCAAGCCGACGTGCTGGTTACAAGTTTTCGGTGCTTTTGAGGATTGCTTGGAACAACCCAAGTTATCCTGAACAAGCACATCAAGGTCGCGTTCGACGGATGATCGCTGCAGTACTTGCGTTCCTAGCTTGTAGGAATAGGTATTCTGATGTCGTATGGAGAATACCTTGCATTTGTAAAAGATTTCGGGTTGACCACTCATGTACCATATCCAGGTAACATCGAAGTAAATTCCGATCGGTATCCGCCTGAATCCGGCGCAATATCTTGATATCGTCAACAAATATCAGGAAAATTTGATGCGGTTTTCCTTGTAAGATCATTGATGAATACCAAAAACAATCGTAGACCTAGAACTGAGCCCTGGGGCACACCAGACTCGACTGGTATGGGTTCAGATAAGGTACTCCGAACTCTGACCACTAATTGTCGTTGCGCGAGAAAGCTGGCGATCCAGTTCAAGAGAGCGCCACCGATCCCGTAATACTGGAGCTTTGGAAGGAGAATTCGATGATCTAAACGATCAAATGCCTTCGATAAATCCAAGAGTTCACATCAACGGCGTCTCCAACTCGGTCCAGCTACTCCGTGTGATTAATCAATTCGTTGTGCACGAACGCTATCGACGAAAGCCGTGTTGCACAGGAGCAATTTTATACTTTCCTAAATAACGCCTCGGCAACGATGGCTTTCATGAGTTTAGATAATAGAAGGAGAAAAGACACTGAGGGCTCAGTTCTGCTTCCGCCTTTGTGAATCGGAGTTACCATTCCAAGCTTCCACATCGCAGGAATCTGGTTCTGATCTAAGCAGCGCTGAAAGAACTGGGTCAGTTGTGCCAGTTGTCTTGCTGTTGCTCGCAGTGCCTCTCGATGAGTTGTGTTTGCGTAGAGACGTCAGCTTCCGCAAAACAGCTTCGGCAGTAAAAGAGATGTGGGTGAATTCTAGAGGCGGGAAAACAAAAGCTGGAAGATGGTTTGATGGAAAGACCCTCTGAAATGCGGGAGCATCTTACTTCCGCAACGCGTTCGCTGCTTTTATAGCTGCTCTAGTTGGACCATCAGTCGTCCGGAGCGGAGGAATTACCTGGCTCACCTTACGACGGCCATTGACATACTTGTACAGCAGATTGTGGTTAGCGCTGAAGGTTTTCACCATATTCTGCTG